GCAGAATCAACAGGAAGCCTGAGGAATGAAGCTTGAGTTAACAGAGATGAATCTGATGCGTGGCCAAGATCCTGCCATCAAGAACAGTCTGCGGAGGATGCCATTACTTGCCCTGATGGCACTGGACACTTGCCAGCACAATGCGGGACTCTGTTGCCCTTGGTCTGCTAGCCACTGACACTTCGACTCCACAATGGCCACATCAAGTAATGTCTAATTGAAGCTTTGTCTTTGTGTCACTCCTTAAAGATGCTGCCAGCCCATGAGGTGCAAACGTCTGCCTACTTTTTGGATTCACAGACACTGCCTTCTTCCCATTTGGGGGCAAGGGAGGGAGGTTAGTGTAGGCCACAACATTCACTTAAGTGAAAACTTTTGATCTATTTCTAAAAAAAAAATTAACCCTAGCACAAACTGTAAAGAAGTGTAAGTAAGCATGACCAAAATGACTTCGCTATACAGAAAACTGTTCTCTTATTTCTTTTCAATTTTCCAAATATTGCTTTTTTAGTAATTAATCATTAGCCACCAAAGTATCACATACATTGTGGAATTAAAATATAATTAGTTACAATTGTGCATTGAAGTTAAATTCGTAATTGATAATTGCCTTGGTGAAGCTAAGGGTCGCTGCTATTGAAATCTCTGAAAAATTCCGAGCCGCACGGCTTGGTGTGCGCCTGCCATCTAGTGGTGAGACAGGTGAATACCACCTTGGTGTGCGCCTGCCATCTAGTGGTGAGACAGGTGAATACTACCATAGAGATCCTAGAGCGCTTGAAAGGCCAAGTTTGCCAGTTTTTCCCGCTTCACAGTTTCCCCAATGTGTTGACCCAATCAACCACCTATTTCTTAAGCCTTTGCAGTTATCTTTCATCATATTCCATTCCATTTCGTGCTAACTGCAAACTGTCGATCTCTGGGAGCCAAAGTGTCTCTTGGCACTACTTTGTAACCGCATTCCCTGAGCCAGGTTCCCTTTCTAAAATGGCTTTTATTTTACCTGTGTCCGGAAACAACACGTGGTTTGGGCAGGCTACCATTCTCCCACAGGGAGTATCTTGGCCACTATTATAAAAGTGCTAATGAACACTAGCGTCACTGATGTCACGGACTGATAACTTACAAAAGGATTTAAGTTTAGTTTAAGAAAGTAATGAAAGAGGATCATCAATATTTTTGCTGACCGCTCTAAGAAGGATGGGAGAATCCTGAGTAAAGGAATGCATCCAGATCTCAACTTCATTCCTTTCTGTCCTTGTAAATGTCGGAGGCAGTATTTATCACGTACCATATCCTAATAGCAATATCAATACAATCCATTTCTCACATACCTGAGAGTAATCAAATCGACTTGACACTTCAAAGATGCAATGTTTCCCTCCGAGAACACTTCTGGAAGCAAAGAGAAACTATCAAGCCAGTGACCTAATAACGTTGCTGGTGCGTGGTGTTGCTCAAAAGATGACCTAAGGTAGGTCATACCTAAGGTAGAGGATAGACAGCATGAATGGTGGTCCAAGACTCAGGATGGGTCCATGGCTCCCCAGGCTCGGTTGCCATGTTATTCTTGATTCACACTCTGAAAGGAAATAAGTGAACATTTTAATCTGGCTCTGGAAGAAGGAGGAAGATTTGGAGTCTTAACAATGATAGTAAAATAGGTTTGAGACTGGGGACTACAGAATCGGGGGGGAGTGGTTCAAAGTACTTGACTGGAGACAGAAGAGGAAAATCAAGTTTCCTCTGTGGGAACAGGGTCTGGTAATGGAGATTTTGAAATTTTGGAGGTGAATGACTTTGATAAACGACTGAGTGGGTGGAGCATCTAGGCAGAGGCCTGGTAAGGGTGGAATTATCGTTCTTAGGGTCTGGCTGGGCCTGGTAAGGAAGCCTTTCTCCTCTTCTTGTGTGCCCCCTTTGGCTTCCTGCTTGCCTGGCCACTCCCTTTCCGTTAGTGTTGCCCTCTCCTTCTTTAGCTGTAGCTGACTCTCTTTTTCATAAATGGCCATAGCAGTTTTATCAAAATTATCACATGAAATTCACAATTGGATGTAATGATTGAATATCTAAAATTTGTGAGTTGAACCTTCTGTACTTCTAGTGAAAGTCTCTAGTGAAGTTTCTTAATTGTCTATGACCTTCAAATTGTCTTCCTGTTGATGCACAGCCTTAAATAAGGCAAAAAAAAAATCAAAGCCTCTCTATTCTGAAATTAAAGCTTTACCTCCACTCTTACTAGATCCTAACATCTAGAGATTGGGTACTCAACCCAAAAGCTTACGTTTGTGAATGCATGCTTATGCCTGCCTAATTACAGCCTAGGCAGAGATAAGTCTTGTCATCGTGTGACTTTGGAGATGATTATTCCTGGGCTACATTCTTTTTCTTTTTTTTTTTAAGATAAGAGTGATATCCTTGAAGAACCCAGTAATAGTAGTATTCTTAAAATGGCTAAAAGTAGGTTGGGAGTATTCCGCAAATATTTATTACAAATGAGAACACTTAACATTTTAGATACGTAATAACAATGTAGCTTCCTTCAAAGATGTTACACCTACACATTCCTCCAAAGGGATAAAAGATATGTCAACTGTGTGATCCTATTCCATTTTGGACCTCCAGACCCTGGTAAAACGATTAGGAGAGGAACAGCATCTGCTACCTAATCAGGTTCAATTTGTACTTTATTCTACTGCTCCCATATGGGAAGTGTGACTTTGCATTTCATTCCTTAGGAATCATCGGTGACCTTCTTCCATCACAGATTTGCTAGTCTTGGTGGGGTGGAGTCCACGAAGGAGTCTTTGACATTAATAATGAGGCAAACGGCATTAAAATTGGCCCTCAGCACGCTGCTGCTAATGCCACACACGCAGCCAATCAGGGAGGACGGCAGGCGGGGGTGGCGGCTGTTGAGTCCGTTTTTACCGTCTTGCTGCCCAAATGCGGCTACTCACTTCACTGGTAGGGACTTTTATTTTTTGTCTTTAGATTCTTCTGGTGGGAGCATAGGGTTGCTATTCATGGGAAAAGTTAAAGATTCCAGGGAAGTTATGTTTTCATACTAATCTACCCTACAGGGTACCGAATAAAGGGTATTAGGTGCTGCACCAAAATAAAATGATTCACTGGGACAGAAATGTTCTCATTTCAATTATTTAAAATCCCACAGAAACTTGACTGGCGTTTTCTCTGCATTTTTGAATAGAAGTGTGAAGAGATGTGTGTGTGTGTGTGTGTGTGTGTGTGTGTGTGTGTGTGAGATATAGTAGCTATTTCAGGAGAGAGTAGCTTGCTTTTTTAATCAACAGAAAAATAATCGCAAAGGCAGAACTGCTGAAATTTCTTTGACTGAATTTATGCCATTCAGAACCCTTTTTTTTTTTTTCATTCCATATGGTTGCTGTGTGGCCTAAATACATACATTCTTTAATGTTAAGTAAAATTGTGCACACTAGACATGGTCATTACGTATATAATTCAGATACAGTACATTTATTGAGGTGTCTCCCTTTGGAATCGGTGCGTTCAGAATCAGAGGAAGGCTAAAAAGCAAACAATCTCAAAAGCATTCGTGTTTTAGGGCTTTGGTCTCACTGCATTTAGAATTCCCTCCACGATTTTCAGCAACCACTCCAGACCCAGCTACATGCTAAATTTAGAATTGCCGCCACAAAAGAAGGCATGGTAGTGAAGAATGGGCTGGGGGCAAAAGAGTCCACGGAAGAACCCCGGGACTCCGGTGTCAGGCGGCGGCGGGCATGGTGATGCATAATCACTAAGTAACGTGACAAAAGAGTTCAGATTCCCAGAGCAAGTCATCTGTGATTCTAACTCCGGTGATCTCTGGATGCACAACCACAGGGCTTCTTCCTCATTCCACGGTCCCCTTGCACGCCAGCAGACAGCCCCGCAACTCTTCCGAGGGGTGCACCGCGGCCCCCCTTCGTCCCCCCAAAACCACGTGGCAAAGTACGCTTCGTCGCCCCCCAAAACGACAATTCAGCAGGTCTGGACAATCGGCTCCGCCCTTGCTGCCCTCTGCTTGTTTACCTGGACCCACAAGTTGAAGCGAGAATTTTCCACGCCCGGGAGGGACCCTTGCCTCAGCGCCTGAAGGCTCTCTAGTGGCGCGTCTATCCGGGTGGGCCACTGGCTCCCTACTTGCCTCGGCAGGTGAGGGGTCCCGTGCGCCCAAGGCCAGCTTCCCGGGTCGGTTCTGTCACCCTCCCCTCCCCCGCGCGCGTGTCTGCGCGAAGTGTGGCCGCTGCAGCTCCCGGACGGGGCCCCGAGTTGCGGGCGCCAGCGGGGGCTGGGGGGGCTCCCTCGCCCCTCGCCCGACGCCCGCAGCCAGTGCCGCCGACCCGAGCCGTGGCGCCCGCCTCCTCCTCTCTACCCCGAAGCCAGGCTCCAAGGGGGAGGCGGGAGGGCCGAGATGGGCTCCTTCACTCCCACCGCGGGCGCCCCTGGTTGCGGGGGGGGGGG